TCTTTCAGATTCAGTGTAATCTGTCAAAATCCCACCTGGCTTTGTTGAAGACACTGACAAGCAGATCCTAAAATTCATACAGAAAGTCAACCAGAGCAGAAGAGCCAAAATAATCTTGAAAAAGAACAAAGCTGGAGCAGTCACACTTCTGCTATCAAAGCTCACTACAAAGATACAGTAATGGAGACTGTGTGGTATTGATATTAAGGACAAAGATCAACAGAACAGAACTGAGAGTCCAGAAATAAACAAACTGATTTTTTCACGAGGATGCCAAAGCGACTCAGTGGAAGAGAAAATAGAGTTGTTTCTTCTTCCTCAAACCTGGGTGTTGAGACAACTGGATACCCACATGCAAAATAAAGAACTTGGACCCTTAGCTCACACCACATACAAAAACTAAACTCAGAATGAACCATGGGACTAAACGGAAGAACTGAAGGCTAAGAACTTAAAACTCTCAGAGAAAAATACAGGAGTAAACGTCACGATGCTGGGTCAGGCGAAGTGCTTTTAGATATGACACCAACAGAACGAGCAACAAAGGAAAAATAGATACACTAGACAATCAAAATTAAGAACTTCTGTGCTTCAAAGAATATCATCCAAAAGTGGAAAAACAACTCACAGAATGGGAAGTATTTGCAAATCATATATCCAATATCTTTGTATGTGAATATATAAAGAACTTTTACAATTCAATAATAAAAATAACTGTTTCAAAATGGACACAAGATATGAGTAGACATTTCTCCAAAGAGGGTATGTACAAACGGCCAATAAAGCACATGAAAAGATGCTCAACGGCGTCAGTTATCAGGGAAATGCAAGCCAAAACCACAATGAGGTACCACTCCACACCCACTAGGAAGGTTATAATGAAGACGACAGGTGTAACATGGACTGGCAAGGATGTGGAGAAACTGGAACCCTCACATAATCTGCTGATGGGAATGTAAAAGGATACGAGCACTTTCCGAAACAGTCTGGCACTTCCTCAACACATTAAGCACAGTTACCACGTGACCCAGCAAGTCTACTCCAAGCTTATAAAGAGAAATGGAAGCTCTTATGTTCGCACAAAAATGTGTGCGTGCAAGTTCACAGCAGCATTATTCACAGTAGCCAAAAAGTGGAAATAACCCAAATGCCCACCAATTGACAAATGAATAAACAAAATGTGGTATATTCATATATGATGGAATATTAGTCAGCCATGAAAAGGAACGAAGGACTCAAATGACAGGAATGACTCCTGAAAGCACTGTGCTAAGTGAAAGCCAGTTTGATTCCACTGATATGAAATGTCCAGATAAGGCAAATCTATGGAGACAGAAAGCAGATCAGAGGTTGTCTGAAGCTCCAGGGACTGGGGTAAAAGGGGAGTGATAACAGGTATGGGATTTCTTTTGCGGTAATGAAGACGTTCTAAAATTGATTGTGATGATGGCTGCACAACTTTGTGAATACAGTAAAAACCACTGAACTTTAGTAAACTGCCCAGGTGAACTGTATGGTATGTGAATTGTATGTGAATAACACTGCTGTATTTAAAACAAACAAGGATGCCCCAGAAGGCTTCGAGCAGCACTTCTGTGGGCTGTGCCGACACCGGGGGCAGCCTGACAGCACGGGCTCTGGTCAGCTACATCACTGACCAAGGGCTCCAACCTTGGCCACAGTATTTAACCATCTCCATGGGCCTTGGAGCCTCAAAACTGGAGAACAGCAGCAACTCTCTCCCGGGGAGGCTGTGAGCTTTAAATGAGGTAATCCCCTTAAAGCCCCGAGCACCGGGACTGGGTCAGAGGCCAGCACCCTCGGTCAGAGTCCCCGCGTCCCGGGACCAGGCTGTCATGTCTCGGGGAACCAAACCCATGCGGGAGAGCAGAGATTAGAGCAAATCAGACAGCAGATAAGGGAACAAAATGTCTGAAAAGAGGGAAGGACGACCTTTCAGAGATCCTTGGCAGAAAAAGCCGAGGCTTACCTGCTGGCTTTGGTCCTTCTGTTCGCTTGGGGCTCTGGAAGCCCCGGCCGCGTTCCCCTTTTTGGTGACCTCCTCTATCCGCTCGTCACACTGCTCCTTCACCTCTTTCATCTGGTTGATGCACTGGTTCCTTTGAAGGGGAAGGAAGGCAAAAGAAAGGACAGTATTTAGAGATGCCTCTAACAGCGAGTCTCCCCTGCTGTGACTGAGAAATCCACTTCTTCCCTTCCCTGCTTCCTGCACTTTATCTGTAGGGGACACCGAGGCAGGGTAGCACGTGAGTTTTCAGTTACTAAATGGCAAGAAAACTGGAGTTGACTGAAACTTACAAAAAATGTCACACTGTTCTTAAATAAGTGAACTTCAATTGGTTAGAAAAAACAAATTTTTAAAATATAATCTGTAGCATAATAAAAAAAAAATGTGGTCTTTGAGGAGGAGGGTAGAGCTCAGTGGCAGAGTGCGTGCTTAGCATGCACGAGGTCCTGGGTTCAATCCCCAGCATCTCCATTAAAAGAAATAACTAAACCTAATTACCTCCTCTGCAAAAAAAAAAAAGTAGAAATAAAATGTTTTATTTTATTTTACTGAGTTATAGTCAGTTTACAGTGTTGTGTCAATTTCCAGTGTAGAGCATAATTTCAGTCATACATGAACATACATATATTCACTGTCACATTTTTTTTCACTGTGAGCTACAAGATCTTGTATATATTTCCCTGTGCTTTACAGTATAATCTCGTGTATCTATTCTATATACACCTGTCGGTAGCTACAAATTTCAAACTCCCAGTCTGTCCCTCCCCACCCCTGTCCCTCCGGCAACCATAAGTCTATGAGTCTGTTTCTATTTTATATTTAAGTTCATTTTTTTTAAGATTCCACATATGAGTGATATCATACAGTATTTTTCTTTTTCTCTGGCTATTGGCACAGAGCTCTTAATTAAGACCCCGAGAATTTCCTGAGTAACAGGAGTGCCTTCCGTTACACATAATGAGCCCCTGTGGAGTTGACTTACTGGGAAGAGCCTGCAAAGCTTTGCGATGGGGGCTGGTGGCCAGGGAACCAACCACATGATGAGAGGTCCTTTTCCAAGGACCAAGGAGAGATGAGTTCAGTCACGTAGCCAGTGACTCAACCATACAATAAAAACTCTGGACTATGAGCTTGGTGAGCTTCCTTTCGGCAAACACATCCGTGAACCAGAAAGGTGGCACCCCAACTCCAACAGAAGCTCCGGTCCGCCCCTGAACCTCTAACCCAGACCTCGCCTTCTGAGTCTCTGCCATTTAGCTACTCCTGAGTTGCAGCCTTTATAATAAAACTGCAAGTGTAGGTACAGAACTTTTCTGAGCTGTGGAGAATTACTGATCCTGAGTGGGAGGGGAAAGCCCTGAATTTGTAGCTAGCTGGGCAGAAGTACAGGTGGCCTAGGGCCACCAAGAACTTGTGGCATCTGAAATAGGGGCAGCCTCATGGGAATGAGTCCCTTAACACACATGGGGTTTGTGCTAACTCTGCAATAGTGTCAACACTGAACTGCACTTCCCCTCCAGGAAGACGGGCAGGTATATTCTTCCACTGAGCACAACTAAAAGCTCTGGACGTTGTATCTGAATAAACATAAGCAAGCTCTGAAAGG